TGGCTACTCTATGGCTGATGTCATGCTTTATTTTGATGTCCGCATTCGCGGGACAGTTGTGGCAATTGTTGGTCCGATCGCAACCTATATATCAAATCGAGTCGTGGAGTGACTTGTATTCAAAGCCTGAGTGGAAAGACTTAAAAATACAGACATACAAACAGTTAGATATGTTTAACTTTGCTAATGATTCACAAAATGCAAACAATCCAATGGCTCAGGACTTTAATAAACGATTTGTAAATCTCTTGGATCCACTCGACTATCTGTTTGGGGGCAAGAATTTCGACAAAGACATCGACTATAAGGGGTTAATGGAGGGTCGGTTAGTTCAGGTCCACAACAGGGACTTCCTGCAAGTGATTAAGAAGAATATCATAGAAATGGGATATCGAGAAGACATAGACTTTCATATATCCCAATACGGATCGGGAACTCAACCCGTATTCTTGGCTTCCAATCCCAAAATAATGAACGAAACTCTGGGAAAGGCATTTGATTACACGTAGGCTTACCTTTCATTCATAGTATTATTAAATCTTATTAAAAATGATAATCCAAGTGTTAAGTATAAGTTTGATGTAATTCTATATACATTTCCTGTTTAAACTTTTTAAATATATTTTAGTACAATACTAGAAAATAATTTGATTAATATTTTCAAAGAGAAATTTGTCTTTTTTCAGAGTAAGTCAAATCCATTGCACCGGTATATATGACAACGCTCTATATAATGCGTTAAATCCTCGGAAAAGTGGCCAAAAGTATGACCAAAAAGTTTCAACAATGGATTCCTATAATTATAACATTCTTTCGTTGTCTGAATTGAAGGGAATATTTGTCTTATTCTTAATCGTCAACGGATTGAGTGTTATTTTATTTTCTACTGAATTGCTTTATAATAAAATACATTATAATCCCTTAAAACGGAAAAAATCTATTTTTGCTAACTATACCAAGCGTTCAAGTCTTTATAAGTTATAAATTATAACAATTATTTTACAATAATTACAGTTATTTTTATTACTAATAAACTTGTTTAATAACCACCATTACAGATGTCATTCAATAACTTTTAATGAATATAATAAAAAACACACAAAATTAAATAACAATTATAAAAGTAAAACAAATATTTATTTTTTCAAAACAAATATTTAATGAAATAATTACAATAAGAATGTAATGGCAAAAAATGCTTTTTAGTAATTATAGAGAACATATTATGAAAACATACTCTCATATGATTAATGTTATTTAATGGTAACAGCTTTAAGGCTTGCCTACCGATTAGGACGGGAGGGGCTGCCCAAGTGGGGCTGGAAACTCATCGGTAGACTACTAATTGTGGTTTAAGTGGGAATTTTTGATTGTATTCTCCGACTGTACGTCAACTGACAATCACCTGAAGGCGGCACTCATTCACATCAAGTGCTATCATTTGGATCATTCGTTAGGCTATTATTCTAAGCCTTCGAATAGCAGTAACTTCTGGTCAGTAAAGCTGTGAATCGTCGATATCTACACAACACCTGTCGACTACAACATATGATCGCCTATTATTAGTCCCAAATCACAGTTTTATTATACATTTCTATCAAAAATATGAAGGCATTCATATTTTTATACATTTACGACATGATTCATTATAAACATTTTATCGGATAAATGTTTATTTTTAAGTGTCCATGGTTAGACCAATTTTGATGAGTGCAATTAGTGTAAGAAATCTATACATCGATAATTGATACATTTATTTTATAAGTACTCATTTCGTTTAATCCAGGTTAATTTGACAAATTCACTATTGACTGTAATCAATTTAGTACAACGAGTACTGTATTTAGTAACACTAACATTATTGCTAACTCAAACTTATATTTCAAAATAATTGTGCACTAAAATGATACGGTACACATGATGCCATTTAATGTAGAAACCAAGCTTACGCTAACATTCATATCAGATAATAGCAAGGGTAAGTGTATGAACATTAAAATACTAAATACACTTGTACTCAATTGATTAGTCAATAGTGAATTTATAAAATTCACCTGGATTAAACAAAGTGAGTACTTATAAAATAAATGTATCAATTATCAATGTATCTAGCACTCATTGTACTAATCAAAATTGGTATAACCATAAACATTTAAAAATAAACATTTATCCGGTATGTTTTTAAGGTATATAAGTCAAGAAAATTATTGGAAAACACAATAAATGATTATATTTGACATTTACTAACAAACTAATAAAGATGAATTCAATTTATTTAATAAGTTTGTTAGCATTAATGCCATTAGTGATGGCAAACCTTTATTATGATTTAAACGATTATTTCTACGAATCAAACGACTTTCCAATCGATGACTACAAACAAGTGAGGAATTCGCGTAATTTTACCGGAAAAGTAGTGTTGACTACCGGTTCTAGTTCTGGCATAGGGGAGGGTATTGTCAAACTATTCTCTATATTAGGTGCCAGTGTTGTGGTCACCGGTAGGAATGCCACTGAAATTACAAGAGTTGTCGAAGAATGTCAAGAATTGTCACCAAATAAATTGAAGGTATAATTGATTTTGCAAAAACTTTAAATTATAGTAAAATTAATTTAATATGACAAATAAAAAAGCCATTAGAAATAGTGGCCGATTTGACCAAAACTGATGACGTAAACAGACTGTTGAATGAGACAATCAAAACATTTGGCAAATTGGATGTATTGGTGAACAATGCGGGCGTATTAAAGCCGTCACCCCTAAGAGATCCAAATTTTATGCACGTTTTCGATCAGACCATTAGTATTAATCTGAGGGCTTATCTAGAGTTAAGTCAATTGGCAGTCCCTTACTTGGATAAAACCAATGGCACTATAATAAGCACTTCCAGTATTGCATCATCACTCCCGGTAATTATATAATTATAAATAAATATAACAGACCCTAACCTAACATATAATAGGAACCAATGGGTCTGGCCTATGAAGTAAGCAAATCTGGCGTAGATATGGCCACCCGGACAATGGCCATGGAGTTGGGCCCTACTATTAGGGTGAATGCTATAAAGTAGGATATTTTGCAATTCGTATGACTATTTGATTGACTCCACTAATGAATTATTTAATTGTAAAACTAGTCCTGGTCTTATCATAACAAACATACAGTCAGGTTTGGATCCGGTTATAGTGGAGGCCTTACGCAAGCAAATGATAGACCGGACGCCACTAAAGAGAGCGGGACAGCCGTTAGATGTGGCCAAAGGGGTTGTATTGGACCGGAGTTCACTACGGGTCAAATATTGGCCACGATTAGAACACCAACTGCCGCCTCAACAGATAGTAATGGGTATTTATAATCTACATAAGTCTGATTAACCTAGTTTTATATACGTGAGTAAATGAATATTAAGTAAAATATTGTATTTTTATTGAGTTTAGTGCAAATCACGATTTAATAGTGTTATTCATGATGTTTATGTTATGACAGAATAAAGAATTAAAATATTTTAACAAAAATTAAATCTTACTTCTTAGTATTTTATTTCAGTGCAGGCACACTTTATGCACTAAATTAGCACTATGATCACTTATACCGTAACATAAATTGTAAAAAAACAAATATATTTTTAAATATACTAATGATTTGTGTTACATTGAACAGGTTATTTAGATTTGTACTATCTGCACCAAAACTTAACTAACATATTTTAGTATTATGAGTCATTTTAATTACCAGTTTATGCTATATAATATTATCCCATGGGATAACTTTCCATTGAATTAGTAATAGAGACATAAAGTATGAAAATGTTACAAAATTCTTGTATAAATACAGAGGGTTTTATGATTGAATATAAGAAAGTTTTGATTTTTAGTTTAAACAAGTTAAAAATATATTAAAATTTTTTAATTTAGTCACTGATATAATATCAATATAACTGTAAACTCAAAATGAATTTTGGTGTTGTTTTAATATCTGTGTGTCTTTTATTGTTGAATTCGCATTTAACTCATTCGCAAAGTAATGATGTTTATAGAAATGCCAAGAATTCACGTGATTTTACGGGCAAAGTAGTGCTGGTCACCGGATCCAGTTCCGGCATAGGGGAGGGCATCGTTAAGTTATTTTCTGTATTGGGTGCTAATGTTGTGGTCACCGGTAGAAAAGAAGATCAAGTGAAACGTGTGGCACAAGAAGTCCAAGAATTGTCACCTAAAAAATTAAAGGTTTGTCTCAAAACTGATGATAAGTTTAAATATAAATAAATATTTTGAATTATACATAAATAAATTGATTTTGTTTACAGCCGTTGGCTGTTGTGGCGGATGTGACCAAAACTGATGACTTGAATAGACTATTGAATCAAACGATCCAAACATTTGGCAAATTGGATGTATTGGTGAATAACGCCGGTATCGGGATGTTTGCCGGCGTTAAGGATAAAAACTTTATGAAAGTGTTTGATCTCATAAATCGTGTCAATCTGAGGGCATATTTACGGTTAAGTCAGTTATCGGTGCCATATCTCGAAGAAACCAACGGCACTATTATTAGTATATCAAGCATTGCATCCATGTTACCGGTCAGTCATTGTATGATACTAATTATATTATCATTATTAATTTGACAAGTTAACTTTCAATTATAGACTAAACTAGGAATGGCTTATGAAATATCCAAATCAGGTGTGGATATGATGACCAAGGTATTAGCACTGGAATTGGGGCCAAAGATTAGAGTGAATGCTATCAAGTGAGTGAAACGTTTATAATAATTTATTTTCACTTAAAACTAACACTGGTTTAAATTTACCCCTTAAGTCCCGGGTTAATTGAAACAAACATCAACACCGGTAACACTGGTGTGGATCCCGATTTAATTCCAATATTTGAGGCACAAATGGTTAGCCGCACACCACTTAAGATGAGGGGTAAGCCACTGGACGTGGCCTACGCTGTCGTATACCTGGCCTCAAAAGAAGCTCAGTTTGTTAGCGGAGCTAATCTTGTGGTCGACGGAGGACTTGTCTATAACGCCGGAGGAATCACCTGGCCTCAAGTGATGCCCAGTTTATAACCGGTGCTAATCTTGTGGTTGACGGCGGAGTTGTCTATCATTACCCATAAATATTAGATGTATTCAGACTAATTGGATCAAAATATATGCACTCATTTGAATATTAAGTAAAATATTGTATTTTTATTGAGTTTAGTGCAAATCACGATTTAATAGTCTTATTCATGATGTTTATGTTATGACAGAATAAAGCATTAAAATATTTAAACAAAAATTAAATCTTACTTCTTAGTATTTTATTAGAGTGCAGGCACACTTTATGCACTAAATTAGCACTATGATCACTTATACCGTAGCATAAATTGTAAAACAACAAATATATTTTTAAATATACTAATAATTTGTGTTTCATTAAACAGGTTATTTAGATTCGCACTATTTGCACCAAAACTTAACCAACATATTTTAGTATTATGAGTCATTTTAATTACCAGTTTATGCAATATAATATTATCCCATGGGATAACTTTCCATTGAGACATAAAGTATGAAAATATTACAGAATTCTTGTATAAATACAGAGGTTTTTATGATTGAATATAAGAAAGTTTCGATAGTTAGTTTAAACAAGTTAAAAATATATTACAATTTTCAGATTAAATCACTGATATAACTGATATAGTATCGATATAACTGTAAACTCAAAATGAATTTTGGTTTTGTGTTAATATCTGTATGTCTTTTACTATTGAATTCGCATTTAACTCATTCGCAAAGTAATGATGTTTATAGAAATGCCAAGAATTCACGTGATTTTACGGGCAAAGTAGTGCTGGTCACCGGATCCAGTTCCGGCATAGGGGAGGGCATCGTTAAGTTATTTTCTGTATTGGGTGCTAATGTTGTGGTCACCGGTAGGAAAGAAGATCAAGTGAAACGTGTGGCACAAGAAGTCCAAGAATTATCACCTAAAAAATTAAAGGTTTGTTTTACAACTTATTATACGTTTAAATATAAATAAATATTTTGAATTATATATAAATAAATTGATTTTGTTTAAATTTTATATAAAATTGATTTTATTTACAGCCGTTGGCTGTCGTGGCGGATGTGACCAAAACTGATGACTTGAATAGACTATTGAATCAAACGATCCAAACATTTGGCAAATTGGATGTATTGGTGAATAACGCCGGTATCGGGATGTTTGCTGGCGTTAAAGATAAAAACTTTATGAAAGTGTTTGATCTCATAAATCGTGTCAATCTGAGGGCGTATTTACGGTTAAGTCAGTTATCGGTGCCATATCTCGAAGAAACCAACGGCACTATTATTAGTATATCAAGCATTGCATCCATGTTACCGGTCAGTCATTGTATGATACTAATTATATGATCATTATTAATTTGACAAGTTAACTTTCAATTATAGACTAAACTAGGAATGGCTTATGAAATATCGAAATCAGGTGTGGATATGATGACCAAAGTATTGGCCCTTGAATTGGGGCCAAAGATTAGAGTGAATGCCGTCAAGTGAGTGAAACGTTTATAATAATTTATTATCATTTAAAACTAACACTGGTTTAAATTGACCCCTTAAGTCCCGGGTTAATTGAAACAAACATCAACACCGGTAACACTGGTGTGGATCCCGATTTGATTCCAATATTTGAGGCACAAATGGTTAGCCGCACACCACTTAAGATGAGGGGTAAGCCACTGGACGTGGCCTACGCTGTCGTATACCTGGCCTCAAAAGAAGCTCAGTTTGTTAGCGGAGCTAATCTTGTGGTCGACGGAGGACTTGTCTATAACGCCGGAGGAATCTTATAAATATTCATTTTATTTGGTTACCTAGTTCACTTTACTATTATGGTTTTATTAACTGTAGCATACATTTATACTACATTTGTACTGATACTAGCTACATATCGACATATTTAATCTGTTATATGACATTTTATTACTCGCATTGAAAATTTTAAAATCTCAAAATAAACTTCTCAAGCAATAATAATAAATTTATAATCATTTGTTTTGGTTTAATAATAATTTAATAATTATAGTGTAAATCATATTTAAATAGCTCTCTCACTTTGATAGGGCATATGGAGAATATAATGGTAAATTACTAAAGTGAGAGGACTATTTAAATATGATTTAAACTATAATTATTAAATTATTATTAATTTAAACGATAGTTTATCATAGTGTCTCTATAAAAAAATTAATAAAAAATTAATATTTTATAATAATTTTATGTGCCAAAAAGTCAGTCCCATTGTTTTTTATGAAATTAAACATATTCAATATTTTGACAGGCTCACAATAAGACAAGTTCGCTTATACTATAAAATATCAATGAGTGATATTGGACACTTTTTACAATATACAGTAAAATAAAATTTTTACAATATTTATAAATATATTGTATTTCATAATACATGACAGTTGTACTCCCTTTGCACTAAAGTGTGGACTTTGAAAGCCTTCAACTGATTACAATTGATTATCCCCTAAATTACCGGTTTTGTGGCAAAGGATTTCAGTTAAAAATCTAAAATTATGACTAATAATTACTAAATATTATAAAATGTTTTGGTATATAAACAGGCAACTTAGAATATTGTGGATATCACTTTATCAAATAACTATCTACTATATTGTAGAGAATTTTATAAAATAAATATTAACTTATATTCAAATTGTAATCACAATGAATTTCAAGATAATCTCAATTGTTTTATGTGTTTTCCTACTTAACTCACATTTATCTCATTCGCAAAGCAATGATATATATAAACAGGCAAAGAATTCACGCGATTTTACGGGCAAAGTAGTACTCGTCACCGGATCCAGTTCCGGCATTGGGGAGGGTATCGCTAAGCTGTTCTCAGTATTGGGCGCCAATGTTGTGGTCACCGGTAGGAAAGAGGATCAAGTGAAACGTGTGGCACAAGAAGTCCAAGAATTATCGCCTAAAAAATTAAAAGTTTGTTTAGAAATAATTTTAAATTTTATATAAAATTGATTTTATTTATAGCCGTTGACTGTTGTGGCGGATGTGACCAAAAATGATGACTTAAATAGACTAATGAATGAAACCATTAAAACATTTGGCAAATTAGATGTACTTGTTAATAACGCGGGAATGGGTGTGTTTGTTAGCGTCAAGGATAAGAATTTAATGAAAGTCTTTGATAACGTACTCCGGATTAATCTGAGGGCTTATGTCAAGTTAAGTCAATTAGCCATTCCTTATCTCGAAGAAACCAATGGCACTATTATTAGTATATCAAGCATTGCATCAACTCATCCGGTAAGTTTTGAAATAATTTTAAAAATATAACTCGATGAAATTATGAATTTACGATCAAACATATTTGATATCTTGAAACATACTATGAAACCTAATTCTATAGCAGTTTTTTTAAAAACCACAATAATGGCATTTATTCTTTAACCTAGACCAAATTAGCTCTTGCTTATGATATATCCAAAGCGGGTGTGGATATGATGACCAAA